CATTCTTTGAGGGGGCACCTCCAAGTCTTCCGGTCCATGCGGATCAGTCGGGACGGGATACACGGCCTTAACACCCCCATAAATGTAAAGATCTAGGTGTCCGGCTGCGACTAACTCCTCTAAGTGTTGCTTTAGAGGCAAACAGTCCTCTGTCCGGTGTCCTCGCTCCCAGTGATATGTGCAGCGGTACCGCGGAATAAAACCCTTTTGCGCGTCGCCTAACTTAGCAAGAAACCGGACGTAATCCTTGTCACGAATTTCACTAAGTATGCGATAGATTAGAATCTTAAAGACCGTGGTGATGCCTGTCCGAGCTTTCAACCTTCTGTTAGCATCAGCTACGTCATTGCGGTGGTATTCATCTCGGTCATTCCAACGACCCCTTCCCTGGTTTCGATGATTTGACCTACGGTCAGATTCCTTGGCGCGATCATTTGGACGGTTAGTCTCCTGTGCAACTGCGTGTACCTTGCCAGCAGACCTCTTGTCTGTTACCACCGGACTTGTCTTCGCAGTGGACACCGTCGCATCATCCTCTACTCGGAATTTTTTTAATTTTTACTGAATTTTTTTAATATTTTAAGCTATTTTTATTTTTTATTTTTTAGATACACCTAATCTAGATATATTTAAGAAGTATAATGTTTTGTGATTTTTTTTTATAAATTCACCAAATACAAAAAAAAATATAAAAATACAAAAATTTAGTAATACTATAATAAATGTGAATGATGGTATTTGGTAATACTATAATAAATGTGGGTGAATAGATGAGAAAGAAAAATGATGGTAGAAATAAAAAATAAATAAATTTCTATTCATATATAAAAATCTATACAAAAAATATCATAAAAATGTTGTGATAGTGATGTTGTTGTTAATATAAATCATATTTATGGATGTTTTTGTTTTAAAGTGAAAGGTAAACATTAAGTTATTTGAAAATGTTATATAAAATTTATTTTTTTATGTCATCACTTAATAAGAATATATTCAGGTAGAATTTAATGATGGAAAGTTGTAGAATGTAGTCATGATAGGACAAAGAAATGATAAGAAATAGGGCAAAATGGTCATTTAAAAAATTTTAGGGTATAACATTAGCAATTGAGGGGGTAATTTGTAATAAGATTACAAAATCTCAGGTAGGAGAATGTAATTTTTTAAACGTGGGGGAGATTTATATTAAAAAGGAATCTCAGGGGGTGTTAGTATAATTTATCCTAAAATTTATACAAAATTTTGTTTGCATGATTAAATATTTAAAGTGACAAATTATATATATATATATATATATATTTTAAAAAAAACGTAAATAAATTAGTAATATAAAATTTGAAGACATTACTTAAAATAATTAAATTTAAATATATATTTTTTGTTAGAGGCATAACTAATCATTCCGTCCCAAAATATTAGTCCCTTATTATATTTTTTATTGTTCCAAAATATTAGTCCATTTTCAAAAATTAAAGAATAAAATAATATGAATTTATTATTTTGCCTTTCTTTTAAATTTATTAATAATATAAAAAGTACAATTATGACAATTAATATTCTCAAAAAATATATTATCAAAGGATAATTTTTAAAAATTAATATTTTTAAAATGTAATAATTGTACCATTAAAAAAAATTTGAATTCCATAAAAGTGACTATTATTTTAAGGCAAAAAGAGTATATTTTTTCAAAAGTGAAGGGAGACGCGCGATCATCTGAACCCCACATTGCTCTGTCCTTAATTATATAGGGAAAATTCTATTTCTACTCACTACTTCCTCTCTTTCCATATCTTTTCTCAATACACACACTAAATAAATTTAAATTATCAATTTTCACTCAATACACATACTCTCATACCAAAAATACCCTTACCATCTTCATCCTCTAAACCCTAACCTTAACAGGCCACCATCGCTTTTATTTTTTCAAGGTAACTGGTATTGAGTTTCATCATCTGCGGATGACATAAACATTTTTTTTTGGTTACATCTATGCAAATTGGCAATACCTCTTATGGTTGAAACAAATTGAAATCTGCATAACCATTCAAGAATCAAAATTATTACTTTGATTTTTCTTCTTTTAGTTCCAACTGCCCATCAACGAGACCATGAGTACGCAAGTTCTCAAGCTTCTCACAGCAAGAATTGAGATTACCAATAATGATTGGAGGTGAAAGAAAAAAAAAAAAAATAAACGAAAAATGAAAAACTGGCAAAGCAATGAAAGGTAAAAATTTTGCAGCAGTTTAGATAATTCTCAGAGTGAAATACATCATGGAGTAAATAGAAAACGAAAAGGCTGCTACCAGCTAGAATATGTTTTGTCAGTTAGAAATGATGAGGCATAAAGAGAAAAGAAGAAAGAGAGTGAGAAAAATAAAATAATAATAAAAAAATATGAAATGGATCACAGACTCACAAAAGATGATTTGAGAGAGTTAGAGTTAGAGTTTTGAGAAAGTGATATTTTGGTAATTTAATTTTAAAACAAAGATGTAATTAAAAAAATTATTAAATGTGTGAAAAGATAAAAAATAATGTGTGAAAATAAAATTTTCCATTATATAGATCACAAATATAAGGTATGAGATTTATTGATAAATCCCCTTTTAACCTTATATATTTACAATCAAGCCAAAAATTAAATAACCACCTAAAGTCGAGAAGGATCAAGTTAGATGGATTGAACGGGTCCGGAATGGGTCCCAAATAACACTAACGTCACCTCCTTTCTTCGCATCATATGTTTCATAGACGGATGCACATGCGTCACCACAAGCACCTCACGCAAAAACTGTACATACGGAAATCGCATATACATACATATAACCCATAATACAAAAAATTATTAGTTAATTTAGGAATATCACATGATTATGGAGTGGTCTAAGAAGATGATTAAAAATTAATATTTTGATTTTTTTAATATTTTATGTGAGATGTGATGTGATTTAAAATAAGTTAAAAATTATATTTTGACTTTTAATTCATGTTTTCAAAATGGTCCTATATCTCTCACCAATCATAATTCATCGTGTCGTCTCATATTTTTTTAATCACCTAACATAAATTTGTAAGTCTCATCTTCTTTATCAATTACAATATTATTGAGACACCATGCGACGAAAAATTATTATTTACTTTTAGAACTAGTTGAGATAGTGCTCAAATCTAATTATTATTAATTAGATCAGGAAAAAAGAGTGAGATCCTCAGTGGGAATGACCCCTACCACCCCTACTGAATGATGATTGGCCCATTTTTTATTTATTTAATTTTTTTTTATTTTTATCTTTCTTTCACTGCCTCCACATGTATATAGGGGTGCCGGGGGTCATCCCCACTGCAAGTTAAGAGCATTGCTGTTAAATCAATATGACCTATCACATTTTTATATCGTTTTAAAAAATAATAAAGTACTTATTCCTTAATAAGTAATATAAAATAATATTTTAAAATCAACCAATAACTTTTCCTGTATGACGGTGCACGACCAACTAATAACTTCTCCCCGCAATACTCCTACCCGCATACCAGCTCTTCCAGTTCCACCATCACATCACATCACATCACATCACATCAGCTGCTGCTGATAGTACTATTGCCAATAACATGTCAACAATGATTCATCTCACTAAAAATATCACCACTAATAGCACAAATGCATTAAAAAAGTAAAAAAAAATAAAAAAAATAACTCCAAGACCAAAACATCACATCATTAATGACGGGACCCACTGCCACCTAATTAGTGGGAGCACTAATTAGTACTCCCAAGCATTTTTCATAACATATTTAGCTCTTGCCAAAATGAAGCACAACCATAGTCAGCATAAAAAATTTGCATATTTAGGTCTTGTTTGGAAATTTTTTCTTTTAGTCAAAAAATTATTAAATTAGTCAAAAAGTTAATAATTCATAATAAAAATTTAAAGATTCTCTTTTCTCTTTACTTTTTGCACATCTTTTCGTAAAAAGCTAAAAAGTCATCCCAAACATACTAATTTTTTTAGCTCATATTTTCGCCAAATAGCCAAAAAGTTACTAAATTAGCTTGTTCCCAAACGAGGCCTTAGGCTTGTTTTGAGAAGTTGACTTCTAGTCACTGTTTTTGGTTTGTAATAAAAGATAAAAGTTGATTTTTTTGAATTTTTTTTTTTTTGGAAAGTTCGTTTTTATCCAATGGTGAAATTACAATTCTATTATTCATGGGTCAAAATGTGTTACATAAGTGAAGTTATAAATATTTTAAACTGAATGAGAGTAATTTGGTCATTTTATTATGATTTGACATCATAAACAAATATTAATCAAAAAAATTAAAAGTCACTTTTTACTAACTTCTTAAATTATTTGTCTAAAAAGACCAAAAACTTGATTAAAATCAAAAAATTATTTTTTACTATCTTTCAAAAATAAGCCTTATCTAGTAACACCAGTAATGTTACGCAAGTATAGAAAATTAAACACAAAATTTATTCCATTAAATGACTAACCAATTAAAAGATGTCGATAAATTTTGTTATACCATAACAATCAAGATCCACAGGCTTTGACCGATGATCAGAATGATTGTCCAACCAAACGATTAAATATACAATTTTCATATTCGAGCCTATGTTAAATGTTGTGTGCTTAGACTTTTGTTTGCTAATAATAAAAATCATCATTAACAAACGCAACTCATATGTTTGGTACTAAAATTAAAATAGTTACAAAAAAATAAAATAAATTAAAAAATTAATAACATAAAATATTATATTTAAATCATAATTATTTTATTTTAAAATAAAAAAATTATATTAAACGAGACTTTTTAAATTCAAATTAAAATAATCAAAAATTAGAAAACCAATACAAATTCCAAACAAAAGCTATTTCAGTTTCACAAACGGTCTCCACAACTCCTATCTTACCACGTAGTCATTGGTGATCAATATAAGTCACCCGCGTGTAATCCATAGATTCCCAGACCTTGGCTTCCTCGAAACATCCAGTAGTACTCTTTCATATTACGTAGTCGTGGAAGCTGCTTTGGCTGTTGAGAGGCAATGGCCACTCTCTTGTTCTTCCAACAAGTCCATTGAAAACCCTAGACTTCAACTCTCTCTCGCTCTCTCTCTTTCGAAATTCGATCATTTTCTCAATCTCTATAAAACCCTAAATTTTGATTTTTTGTCTTCAAATTGTGAATCGTACATACATGGGTAGCGATCCGGCATCGTCAACAGCTTCGCTTGCTCCTGGGTTTCGGTTCCACCCAACCGATGAAGAACTGGTGCGTTACTACCTCAAGCGCAAGGTCTGTCGCAAGCCCTTCCGCTTCGAGGCCATCTCCGATATCGACGTCTACAAGTCCGAGCCTTGGGATCTCCCAGGTCTCCTCTCCCTCTCTCTCTGTCTCTCTATATATATATGTATGTATGGATAGAATTCTGTGTTGTGGTTTTGTTAACGGAATTGTTTTCTGGAATATCAGGCTTCTGTTCACCTCTCTCCATAGATTAGGGATTTTCCAATCGTTAAATCACTCATTTTCTCTCTCTAGATTTGGGGCTTTTTCTCATGAATTGAAGTATGGTAATTGAGGTTGTCTATATATATATATATATGATATGTATTGTGTATGAAAATATCTTTTTTTTAATGAATTATAATGTTAATTTTTGGGTTTTAGGAAAGTCGAGGCTGAAGAGCAGGGACTTGGAGTGGTATTTTTTCAGTGTTCTAGATAAGAAGTATGGGAATGGGTCTAGGACTAATAGGGCTACGGGAAGAGGGTACTGGAAGACAACAGGGAAGGACAGACCGGTTCACCATAAGTCCCGCACGGTTGGGATGAAGAAAACGCTAGTTTATCACAGTGGTCGGGCTCCGCGGGGTGATAGGACTAATTGGGTGATGCATGAGTACAGGCTTGTTGATGAAGAGTTGGAGAAAGCTGGGATTGCGCAGGTGAGAATTTTATAATTATAATTCTTCCAGGATATATGTAAGGACTAAGGGAATTTGTTTTTCAGTCATGCTTTCAATTTAGTTGCAAAGAAAACTGAATTGTTTGCATAATTTATTTGGTGCATGTTATTGTTTGAACAAAGAAATGGTAGATAAGATAAACAAAACTCATTTTGAGGAATTTAGGATTTAGGATTTGGGATCTAATGGATTTTGGTTTTTCTTTTGCTTTTGTTTTGGATCGAAAAGGATTCATTTGTGCTGTGCAGAATATTTCAGAAGAGTGGTTCAGGGCCAAAAAATGGGGAGCAGTATGGGGCACCATTTATTGAAGAGGAATGGGAGGATGATGAGTTGGTTATGATCCCAGGCGAGGAGGCTGCAGACGAAGTGGCAGTTCATGATGATGCCTATCGTGATGGAATTGACCTTGAGCAGGTTAGTCATCAACTCATTGCACCCTGTATATTTAACAAACTGTAATCTCTCTCTCTCTCTCTCTCTCTCTCTCTCATGCATTCAACTGAAGCATTGAAGCATCGCAATTAATAGTTTTTCTAAGTTCAAATCAACGAGGAAATGATCTATGAGGCACAAATACATCTAGAAGTGAGTCTTAATTGTATTGGATATCGATACTTTTCGGATACTTATAGATACATATTTGATACTTTCTAAAAGTATTTTGCAATAATTTTCTTTAATTTTCGAAGAAGGATCATATATTATTTGGATACTCTAGGTCACACATTTTTTTTGGATAAGTAAAATAATTATTAAAAAATGTACCAAGGGGGTGCAAGACCTATATACAAACAACGACTTACTAGAGCTATATACAGCAAAAACCTATTCCATGAAGAGAGAAGCTCATTCACGTTCCCCCCCAAAGCACCAAGTGATGTAAAACAAAAGGATCAACAACCACAATTCCCAAGCAACCTCATAGTGAAGAAGCAAATAATCGACCCTTTTCTCTGCATGCTTGTACATACAATATCAAATAACATCCAAACAAAAAGCCACTTTTGAAAAGTCTCTAACTGCCCCACACTGCCATCCAAGGGAAAGGAGACCCCTAACAGCCCAAAAGCATCTCATGATAATACTTCACACTAAATACACCAGAATTATTCTTAGACCATTGGATTGCATCACCTCTATCTTCCAAGCGGATGACATATAACCACCCTGGAAGGTCAAACAACTCCAACTCCTAATAATTAAGTTGTCATCGAAAGACAATATTCTGAAAAAACCTTGCCATCCTCAAGTTGATGATAGTCACCATCCGAAGGCTGCATGTTAAGGGTAATACGAGCCATATTAGGGAAATCATCCTGCAAAGCCTCTTTCCCACGCCATCTATGGCTTCAAAACTTCACATGTTCTCCCCATTACCTACTGCAAACTGAATTTGAAGGGAGGAAGAGTCCCATCCTCTTCGAATACCTTTCCATATGCCAACCCCATGAGACCTCCTCAGAGACTCAAATCTCGTCGAATACATCTCCCGCTTGCAAGCAAACTTCCACAATCATATCCTTAAGAATGATTGGTTGAAATGGGCAAATTTTCAAAACACCCAACCAACTTTCTAAAATTGAGATTGTGGCATTTCTTAAATAACTTTAATTTAAAAAATATAATCGTTAGGATGCATACAAGGATAGCTATGAAGTACGGACACGGACACGAACACGGGACATGGTGATTTCAAAAAAATAGGGACACAAACATGGCGAGAGACACAACAAATTATTATTATTTTATTATATATATTTGCTATGTACATTAATATTATGTTACTAAATAATCAAAATTAATAAAAACTAAAATTAATTCAATATATATATAAACCACTACATTTAAACAAATTAATAGATTATCCATATTTGAACACACATGTCCCCGTTGTGTGCCCTACAAAAAAAAAAAGATGAAAAATTTAAAGGAACACTCCATTTGGCGTGTCCCTGTCATTTTCTTGGCGTGCCTCATTCAAAAAAATAATAAAATTAAAGGGACACACCATTTGGCATGTCCCATACTTGTCCTCAACGTGTCTTCGTGTTAGACACCGCTATGGTGGCTATTTTGAAATATCCGTGCTTCATAGGATAATATTTGATACTTTGTTTACCCCTTCGGAAGTTTTGATTTGCTAGAATAGAGTGGAATGATCATTCTCTCAAAATGTCTATTTTCATGTTTGGTTGACTAAAAAAATAATGAAAAATACGTCGCAAATAAAATTATTATTTACCATTGCAAGGGAATGCTCATTTCATAGGAGAGTTTAAGAAATGATCATTCCATTCCATCTCATTCTAGTGATCAGAGTTTTAAAAGGCTTTCTTGAGGCTCGCCTCGATGCTCGCCTAGCCTTGAGGCTAAGGTAAAACGCATCAAGGCTCTGATTTTTAGGCATTACTCCCCAAAGGCTTGTTCATCATAGTTTTAGACATGCGCCTTAAGTGCGCTTTTTACGCCTTTTGCGCATAAGCATGTGAGGAGTATGCACATGTAGAAGTTGCCTTGGACATTTGTTAAACTTAGTCTATTAGATTGTTTAAACATAAAAAATTAAAAAGAATCCATTTTTACAACTATATTTTACAGGAAAAATTAAGTAAATGATCAATCAAGAAAAACACAGTTAATGTTCAAGTGAGAAGCTCAATTACTGAAGTTAAGAATATCGATTTCTCTTTCAGTGAAGGAAAACTTCTTTCTATGCAGTAAAATGTTCAACGCATTAAAGTGAAAAGTATTTACACATTTATATTTAATTTTGTTTTTATTTTTTTAACTATTTAAAAATATTTAATTTATTCAGTAAACATTAAAATTTAAAATTTGAAATGCTTATGCCTCAATGCCTTGAGGCTTACGCCTCGCCTCATGAGGGGTAAAACGTCTCAAGGTACGCATTCGCCTTTAAAAACTTTGCTAGTGATCAAAATAGAGCACTAGAGTAGAAGAATTGGGAAACAAAATCAAATGATACTAAAGTTCAATTTCAACAATTAAACAATCAACTATAGTTTTAGATGGCATCCTTGAGGCCCACCTTGAGGCAAGCCTACAGAAAAACAAATTGAGGCTTTAACTTTTAGGTGACACTTCCCAAAGGTTTGTGCGTCACATTTAAGGTGTGCACTTCGTACTTCTTTTGTGTATAAGAATATGAGTACATGTATGGAGAGTTTGTTTCGGACTATTCTTAAACTTAGTCGTCTAATACATGGTTTAAATATAAAAAGAGAATAACCTCTTTTGTAAGAATATTTCACAAAAAAGATCAATTAAATGATTGACCAACTAAAATTAAGAATGTCGTTTTCACTTTTGATGAGGGCAAACTTCTTTCTCTGAAGGGAAACATTCGATGCCTCGATGATAAAAGTATTTTCGTGAAGATCATAGAAAGAAAAAAAAGGAGCAAATTTAGAATTTTACATGAAGCACATTTAGGGCATCAACAATTAAAGATTTGGAATAATGCCAAGTCTTCATCTCATTATAGTAGGCTTTAGTAATTTAGGGTATAATGGTAATTCCAATAGTGGTTGGACATGGGTTGTAGAGGTCGCCAATAGGTTTTATTGTTTTGGGTGAAGTTATTAAATAGGTCATTATATATAGAATTTATAATATCTAAAATAATCTTAGTGGTCAAAAGTCTAAATTTCTTATTTTGATATGGAAGTAGAATTAGAAGTCATTAAAGTTTCTTATTATGATTGAAGTAGAATTGGAAGTCATAGTTAATCTAGAATATTATTAGTTACTAAATATTTTTAGTTTTTAAATTTAAGTTAATACTCCTTATAGAATTAAGAGAGTTTTTAGCCTATAAATATATGTGTAATCTCAATGATTGAGGAGAAGAGTTAATATTTGAGTTTGTGTTTGTGTGATTGACCTATCCCTTGTGAGGGTGAAGCACCTCTCTCTTTCTCTCTCTCTCTCTTCTTCTTCTTCTATCTAGCGAGATTACTGTTCATGTCACTGTTCACAGTACTTAGAACAGCCACCCAACAGCCCCTAAATACTTGTGTTTTCATTCCCCAAGCCCTATCCTTTTACAAATCCTTAAACTCTTATTTTTTAAATACTTTTGCAGCCACAAACTCCTACCAAATTTAGCCTCCGTTTGGGAAGTGAGTTGGCTTTTTGCCTTTTTGGCTTTTTTAGCCTGGGGCTAAAAAGCCTAGTTTGGGAAGGGCTTTTTGGCTTTTTTGACTTTTTTTGTGAGAGAGGAGTGTAATGATTATGGGTTGGATTTGATGTTTTGTTTTTTGTGGCTAAAATAGACTATTTTGTTTTTTGTGGCTATTTTAGCTCCTAACCCACCAAAACCAACTTCCCAAACTATGCCTTAGCCTTATAAGTCTATTGTTGCTGCTGCTAGTATATTTAACTTGGGCTCACTACTTGTAAGAAAGTAATCCCTACTCGTGCTATATCATATTTACACATTTATATTTAATTTTTAAAATTACTCGTCCTACATCATATTTACACATTTATATTTAATTTTTAATATATTTTTTACTATTTAAAAATATTTTATTAATTTATTTACTAAACTTAAATTTAAAATTTCAATTTTGAAATGCTTATGTTTTGATCCTTATGACTTGCCTCACAAGGGATTAAAAGCCTTTGTGGGAAGCTTAGGGGTAAGTTGTGGTTATGTTATTTCGATATAAACAATTTATACTTGATGTGGAAAGAAATGCAACTTTTGTAGGACCTACTAAAAGTCTGGAAGTAAATTGGTTGCTACCTCTATGACTGGTACTTAATATCTAAGGGTTAGTATTTTGCATTTGAAACATTCTTGAGCTTATGATCTATGAGGAATGCGACGCCTTTAATGCTTTTCCTTTTTACTACAATACAATGGCAGGGCCTAGATTCGTTGTCTTCCCATAGTTAGAAATATGCATAGTTAGTTTTCTTATCTAACTCCTCTCTTTTTTCACATATGCTCAAATATCAAAAATCTGTACAACTTGATGCTTTAGTAAGAGAAATCTAATAAATTTCGAAGTCTTCATAAAAAAAACCACATCTTGGGGAATAGTCTGTTGATTAAGTAACAAGCTGAAAACTGTTAGGGATGGCAACGTGTTGTGGGTATGGGACAAGAGACCCATGCCCTTGGGAGACTTTTTGCCACCCCCGTCCCAAAACGAGGTTTCCCCCAAGTCTGCCCCCACCAAAACCTGTGTAAACCATCATCTAAATTTTCAAAGGGAAATGAATCACGAAAGAAAAAAAAAAAAAGAATTCCCTAACGATTTAGGGAAAAAAACCAAGGAATTAGTATTACCACATTTTGAATTTTGGACTATAGTGCTGATTTCTTACTAGTAGTTGTGGTGAAAGCTTTTGGACTCCCATTAGCCACAATGATTTGGGATAATGTGGTCCGTCATATTGTCAATGAATAATAGCGCCTGTTGTCATGGATCATAAAGATTGAAATGGAGAAAATTGATAATTGGACACTGATACATGTTCACCACTTGTAGAATAATCTTCATGTAGTTCTCCACAAGTCTTTTTGTTCCTTAACAAATCAAGTTGTAGATATTTGTTATGAGGATTTCTACGAAATTTCATGGTCCCTTGCAAGGAAAACCACTTTCCTTTTGGGAAAAGGGAAAATACTTAAATCACGCATAGAATGTGAGATGCCTATAATTTCAAGGCATAGTTAAAATGATTCAATTGTAACATAAAAGAGTTGCCTAGGAGTTGGTTCGAGTTTCCTTCTAATGATAAAAAAAGGGGCAATTCAATGCATGAGGCTTTCACTAAAACGGGTTTGGGGAGGGGAAGATATACGCATCCTTGTCCCATTTTTGGAGAGGCTATTTCTGTGACTCAAACTAGCAGCAAGCTTTTACCGTTGGGCCAAGTCACCCTTTTTTGAGTTTCCTTTTAATGATGCAGGATGGTTTTGAACCATTACTTTACTCTTATTGCTTTATGAAAGTTTCAAATAGCTCCATGCTTTCCAACTAATGCACAACAATGATTTATATTAGGTTGAAGTGCTTATTCTGCTATTGATCTGATTATCAAAGCCAGGTTACTCAAGAAAACCCCTCAACATGTGCTCCCCCTATGAATGTTTGTGTGGGTAAATTTATCTTAATGCTTTTCTATGTTTTCTAGGGATGAGAGAAATCATTATGTAGGGATTGGATGGTCAGTAGTATAGTTGCACTGCTAGTCACGTTTGCTGTATTCCTTATGAGACAATAGTCTCTGTCAGCATGAGGTTTCCAATGCCGGGGTTTTCTATTGTTTATGGCTGATGATGATTGACTGTTACATTGTCGGTTTGGTTGCTCTTCCTTACATAGATATTATTGACACTTGTAATTATGGTTGGCAGTATAGAGATAGTAGTAATCTGTGATGGATTATGTATAGAAGTGGTCTGTTTATCACTTATCAGAATAGCAATGTACATTTTGGGCCTTTTTGTATACTTCGTTTTCATTTATGCTAGCCAAAATTGGTGCCTTTCTATGCATTTAATACACTTCAGTAGAAATAAATACGTTTCTACAGCCACAGTGATTGCCAGTGGGGGTCCAATATTCTGAAAGGTTATTGAGCCAACTGTTAGGTCCAAAGTTGTATGCCATTCCTATATGCTGGTGGATTCACTATTTTTGGATATTGCAGGCTGAGTACTATTTCTCATATCAGTCTTGGGCATTATCTGAAATTCTGAATCTTTGTTTCTGAATACACAACAAATGAAAATGATTATTATTATTATTATTTTTTTTAATGCCAAAATTCTTTGTGATTTATTAAAATTGTGGATGACTTTTCCTTTTTTTCAGATTCTTGATGCAGACATTCCATTGGAACATGTTCCCCTACCATTGAGCTTCAATTATGAGGATAATAGCAGTCATGTTCAGAAGCCGGTGGACTTCGTTGATCATGCTCAAAAACTTTTGGTAGGTATGGGTGAAAGTTACTGTGTTCCCGAGCAGCCTGATGGCCAGAACTTATTTGATTTGCCAGTGCAAAAAGACATGGATGCAGAATCAGTGAAACATGAAAATATTGGTGAAGCAAGTTATAGTGTGAATGCTGTGGATGAAGATTACTTGCTTGACGAACCATTCTTTGATGCTACTGGTAACACTCTATTTGATGATGGGGGGGCAATGTTTACTAATGACCTTTCAAACCCCATTGAGGCGGATCCTTCTGGTTTTGACATGGTTGAAGAGTACCTTAAATACTTTGATGCAGATGACAGCAACTTGCAGTTTGTGGACTCTGACTCTCTGAAGATGATGGGAAGTGAGAACCTTGTTTCTGACCAAGCATTCCTCACCCAGAAGGTAATTTTACCCTTACAACTCGACTAAATTGTCCCCATTGACTATGATGTTAATTGTGGAGTTGATGCCTAATATTAATTTATGATTCTACATCAGCATGTCAATGGAGGAGCCCAAGAAGAGAACATGGGAAGCCAACAGCTCTTGCAAGGTCAAGATAATGATTTTGCATCCACTTCAAAGCAAAACCCTGGAAATTTTGGATCGGGTAAAAATAAGAACTTTGTTCTAGTTTGACATAGTAGCCCTTCTTTAGAAATGTTTTTCTTGGCATTTGCATTGCTCATATAGTTAGTTTATGAAGTGGGCAATTTTTGCATAATATCTTTTCTACCCTTCATTCACCAGACTTTTCGTGTACCTTGCAATGGTGCAGATATACAGCATCCATTTATGAAGCAGGCAAGTCGCATGTTGGGCAGCATCCCTGCTCCTCCTGCGTTTGCTTCAGAGTTCCCTGCAAAAGATGTAGCTTTTCAGTTGAATTCTGCATCTCAGTCTTCAAGTGAGGTCCATTTTACAGCTGGTATGATACAACTAAGAAACATGACCTTGAGTCAGGGATACTGGTCGCTTGGGAAGCATACGGATGTCAATATGATTCTTACCTTTGGCCCACCTCACAATGATTCCACTTCTGCTAGCTCTGATCGAATGGCTAACATGCCTTTGGGCAAGGCTGGGTCGTCAATGTCGCGGTGCTGGTTCTATCTGATGTTTGCCTGGATCCTGATCATTTCGATGAGTTTCAAAATTGGGGCATACATCTACACAGGCAATGCTTGATGATATGGAGACTGACTATAGTACACCAAAACATTACATGGGTTGAAAATTGGGGAAACATCAGATCAGTGGGGATAGTCATAAAATAAATTCATTTTCACGGGGATTCTTTTTGGTGCAAGTCTCGAACATATGAAATTTTTGCAGCGCATCGAAAAATAGTTGCACCAATCACAGGAACTACTTGCACCAAAAAGATTCTTGTGAAATTGATATTATTTTGACGGTCTCACCGTGAGTTGATGTTTCCTCTTGAAAATTCTTGGGCAATTTGATGGATAGACTTCTTATACCCTGATAGACCATTTATTGAGGGAAGATTGTTTATTATTTAATTATTACTATGTTCAAATTTGATATCTAATTACTCTTTGAACTTTGATATTCCTCTTGTAATTGAATGCTTAACTGCTTTGGTTATGTAGTTACTAGCTGTTTGTCAAAATTCCAGGTTAATTGAGTCACGTGGATTGTGGTAGTTAGTAGCTAGTTTGAAGCTTGACATGTCTACACTATCCTTGCACCACGATTTGTTAAATTATCTAATGTACATGAGCTATAATCTATAAACTTGGGATATCCTTGCAACATGATTTGTTACTTACGCCTTGATATAATTTTCGTTACTGAGAATCGACTAACCCTGTTGATATAATTAACCATTTCAAGTGATGATGAGGTGAATATGGAAGCTTTTATACACATTTTTTCTATTATCTCTCTGTTTGTTTTTCGAGATAGAATGGAGGGGATTCATAGTGAGGGGATTAATAGTGAGAAGATTGATAGTGAGGGGGTTAATAGCGATGAATTGTTAAATTATTTTTATATAAAATAATAAAATAAATAAAAAAATATAAAAAATTAAACATTATATTTAAAAAAAAATTCTTAATATATAAAAAATAAATTTTTTTTTAATCCCCTCATTATTTTTCTAATACCATCTCTACTTTCTCTTTACCAATCCCCCTTCCAAGGGGACTACTAATACCAAGGGATTAATAGTCCCTTCCATATCTCTCAAAACAAACACTCCATTAGTAATACCAAGGAATTAGTAATGCCAATCCCCTCCTTATAACTCCAAACAAACGGGGCTTGGAGCATGCTTGTATTCACCTCATTGCGTTTTGTCAATTTATATTTGATCAATGGTATACATATTTGTATCAACTGTATCACTAACTCTATATTTTTTTTTATGGCCAATTGATGTTATGAATATTTAACTATCGTGCCAGGGGCAATGTTTATAAAGACTTGCTCTGTTTTGTCAATCTATAGGAAATTCCTTTGGTACACACCACTTATAGGGCGCAATATGCACCCCAAAAAAAAAAAAAAAATGTAATAAAGTGCATATGGAATACATTTGAGGGGTGTACCAAAGGTATTTATATATATATATATATGTTGTGATGCATGCTTCAACAAAATACCTTTTATTATTTGGATTTAAAATTGATGACAGTGAGTTTCTGTGGCATATGCAGCTTGCAGAGTTGGACCAGTTTCCCTGACTCTTGCTTTTACAATCTTTAAAGTTGGTCAATAAAATATGGGAAAGTCTACTTACACAATACATTTGTCACGGTCCGAGCCTGCCCCAAGAGGCTTAGGCTGTGACTGGCCAGTAATTTCAGATTACTTGGTCTCAAAAACAGAATTAACAAAAATATTTAATTATTAACTGGGCCAGAAGTGGAAGCAGATGGATAAATTTTGTCTAATGAACTGTGCATACATGACATATTTAATGAGCTTTGTATACATGACATATCCAGACATCACATTTAGTTAATAATTCACATCCAATCATGAATAGAAAATAGTACTCAGCCAAGACTATTCACAAGATTATCATTATACAAACTTCAAAGTTTATACACAAACACGGTCAACATGACCAACAAAACAAAAAGGACTAAAGCTTTTTGCGTGAGGCATACTTGGCTGACTCCTTAAAACTTGGTATCCTTTCACAAGTTCACTAGGGCTGGGATTCACGTCTCGCTGCTCACCTACATACATATCTATACGGGGTGAGCTAACGTTCGGTGAATAAACATAAGAGTAAAAAGGTTATATGAATGAGTTCTATATACAAAGTAAATCATAAGATAACCTCATTACGTAGCAGAACGACCTCATGTCCATTACATACAAAGTAAAGTTATAAAGTAACCTCATTACATAGCAGAACGATCTCGCGTCCACAACAGAATGTCATTGGGTTCATAGCAGAACGACCTCGGGTCCAATACAGCTATGTAAAACGGCCTCCGACCCAATCTATAAACAACCTCAGGCCCAATACGTAAACGGCTTCAGGCTCAATCACATAAACGGCCTTAGGCCCAACATATAGCAGAACGACCCCAGGTCCAACAAATTTATATATTATAGCAGACAGATAGAATGCTTATTCATACTTTCGCAATCATAAGTGCAGAAAGCTTACCACATTGATACAATTAGAAAATAGAATAGGAGAAAATATATTTACTAAGATATTACTCACCTTAAGTAGGTTGATGTTTTTTCACAATGTTCAAAACACATTTCACATATACACACATTGGATTACATTGTTCGAATCAAATAATTCATCTTCTCTGTCTAATTCAATCATTCATGTTGGTTCTCACTTATTAGTTCCTTATTGAGTCACAGATCATGTTTAGAAATGTTCCAGAGAAGATGAGAATGAAGATATGAACCCAAAGGAATTTGTCAATATATGCTGAAAATGACCTGACTGCTCGAGCCACATTTTGGTCGCTTAAGCGGACTGCTCTGAAGTACTAGATGGGTTTGATCTACGCTTGAGCCAACACTTGATCGCTCGAGCAGTCCAACAATATGCAGAGGTTTCGCTCGAGCGCACACTTGGTCGCTCGAGCCGTCTATAAAGACTATAAAAGTATTGGGGGCTCATCAAGTTTGCTCGAGCGCACACCTAGTTGCTCAAGTAGTTTGCAGAATTTCTAGATTTTCTAGAACAGAGTTTGAGCTCCAAAAATGCAATTCAAAGCCTTGGGCCATGTATGGCTTGTTCAAAAACACAAAGTTACTTTAGAAAACATGTATACATGATCCCTCAAAAATCATTTGCTCAAAATCACTTTAAATCCACCAAAATTGGACCCAAAACCCATGCATGTAAGTTTTTCCAAGTTCTTTTCTCAAAACTCTTGAGTTTAACAAACTTGAGCTCAAAAGCTCCATGTATGTACAAAATCCTTTCAAAAACATGAATTTGAGAGTTAACACATGATGGATGAAACATGCACGTACAATATAACTCATGATTTCAACATGGATGCTAGAATTCAAACTCAACATGACAAAACTCAACATATTATTACATGCATCTAAAGCTTGTCATTTTCTTGACTTTAATTAACAAAATACATGCAAATGGCCATATAAATTCCATGAACTCAACTCTAAAACATAATATCTTCATGAATTGTTCAAACACAACAATTCTAGCATAATGTTGATCAATTCAAGCTATATCTTCAAGTTCTCCTTCAATCTTACACTTTCTCTCTCTAGATGAGAGCTCACTCTCTCTCTAAGAGTATAATCTCAGATTTTGCACTTCAAAGGAGGAGGAAATGAGCTCAAGAATGAGCTTAAGGCTCAAATATATAGTTGGAGTGGCTTAATACAATAATTAGAACATTAGATCAATTAAACACAACTTAATTAATTAATCTGAATCAATCTTGCCATAAGGTTCTAAAAATTCCAATTAGTATATTCATGTACTCAATTTTGGTTTCTAAAAATATTAAGGCCTCCAATTTCATATTCAGAGCAGAAATCACAACATATAATTTTCATATTGAACATATATACTCAAATTGATTACATGACACATATCACAATTAATAATTAACACATAATTGAATAAATATAATCATGATATGCATGTTGGGGTCAATATTTATCTCTTTACACCTTTCATTTGAGATTTTTTTTTTATTTATATGTGAAATTACCTTTAAGGACTAAAGATAAAAATTAAATAGATTTGATTATCTCTTTACTCTCATTACACTTCAATCTCTATTTTTTTTTCATTCTTTTTAATTTTTTCTTCTCTACTATACATCTACTTTCAAAGAGTAAGAATTATAGTATTTTGATCATAAAATAAAGTAATGGACAAAGAAATGGTGGTGAAGGACTAGCAAAAAAGTGAAATTGTGAGTTTTTAATTTTTATGTTTTCGTTTCATTTTTGAAGAGAGTTATTCGACTTTTGTTCGGAGTACTAGAATTGAACAAAATCAAATAGTCCAAAATCACACTATCGAACAAAAAATACTTGTTTAGTAATCTACAGTCGAACAAAAAGTACATGTATGCCACTTACTGAGAAACATTTCCAGTTTCATTTTTTTGACATTTTTGTTTTTTTTTGTTTTGAAGGATTATGATTCTATTCACTACAGTAAGGTTAGTAATGCATTATTAATGGACTATAGATGCTTGTACATTTCATGTTTTTATGGATACTTAATATTTTAAGGAAAGTGAATTTGTAAATATGTGGCAACAGATGATTGGTTAAATGTAGTTTGTTCGGTAACATGACACTAGGATAATTTAGACGGAATAGGTGTAATGTTTTTGAAAATGGTTTAATTTAGGGTTAGTTTTGGTATTATAAAGGGTGTAACGAGAATTTCAATTTTTTTTTTAATGGTGTAATGAAAAATTAAATACAAAGAGGTAAAATTGTGATGTAAGTAAAATTTCTCTTAAAATATGAATTTTTGGTAAAATGTGCTCTTAAAGGTAAATATCAAGAATATTTAAAAAGATTATCGTGGGTGTTGATTTTTGACCACACAACCAAAAGGGGAACTCAGCTGGAGAGTACCAGCATAATAGATTAAGCCCAACAACATGTAACAAGAAGATGAGAATACCACGGTGGTTCGTTCACTTGGGACACTTTGACAATCAAGTCAGTAAAACTTTATCTCTCACAGATAGCAAATAGTACTTAAACTCACAAGAAAGAACATACCCCAGACCCATAAGGGTGCCTTGCTTTTATAACCAGCAGTGACCTAATCCCTTAGAAGCCTTACTTCAGTGGACTCAAGCTCAATGCTCATCATGACCTGTAGTGTCCTGGGTCTTGGACTAGACTGAACGTGTCCTTCAGACCTACTTTCCTTTTCTTTTTGGTACCTTGATAGTCTGCGTTGCATCAATGTTTGGGAGTTTGAACTTGTTTAATCCATTCTGCGTTAGACCAAGTTAAATTTTTCGAGTTCGAGCGTAAGGACGAAATTGAGGGGAGTGAGGTCACCTCGAGAAGTTTGGGCCGAGTTTGGTGGGACCGTACGTGCGAGGACTTAGGCCGCACGTGTGGATTAGGGGCCGCATGTGTGGAGGGAAGTGCCGCACGTGCGGGGAGGAAAA